AGTTCGATCTCCAGTACCCAAAAAAAAGGTGCATCAGCCTCAGGGCTACCAGCAATGTGGGTAGTGCTGAGCAAGAATCGCCATACTGAGAACTTCCCAAGAAACTGATGGACTGAAAATGTCCAGCTAACTCATCCACACAGGGTAGATTTGGGAAAGAAAGCCTCTTGTCTCTTTAGCCTTCCTCCACACAAAGGACACTGCAGCCTGGCAGCAGATTTCGCTGGCAAACACAGAGCCAAATGACCAGAACTCTGCTCCCTCTCCAATGGGCCACCAGCCCTTTTTTTCCTTTGTCATGTGCTCCAAAGTTAGGAACCCCAGCACAGCTGAAAGAAGTGAGTGGCGACCAGGGGCTTGAGAGAAAGATGCAAGCATGTGTGGGATTTGAGCAACAGCACCACACACTGGAGACGAGATTGAAGTAGAACCGAGCAGCACACACACATACCCCACCTGCAAAAAGCATCAGGACAGGATAGAGAAGTGCCAGTGGGGGTGAAATGAGGCTGTGTAAAGACAGTGGAGCCAACTGTACACGAGTAAACTGTATAAGGGACTGGGAGCACACCCAGGATGTCCCTGCCTGAGGGCACCACAGCCACCCACAATAAGGAGGCTTGGGTAGGCCAGAGAAAGACATCCAAAAAGCTGTTGGCTAAAGACCAACCCCACCTCCCATAAGATCAAACTCACCCAGCACTATCCTACTGCACACTTACAGTTTGGGGGCACTACCAAAGAACTGTGGACTCCAGAGGAATTTTATAGGTTTTTTTCTTTGTTTGTTGGTTTTGTTTCCTTTTTCTTTCTTTCTTTTTTTTTTTTAGAGTAGGAAAAATTTATTGGGAGAAAGAACGCTTCTGCCTAAGAGAGACAGAAGTTGGGGGTTTTGTTTGTTTAGGTTTTTACCTTTATTTTTATCTTGTTCTCACCTTTCTTTCTTCATAATATTTTCATGTGAGTGAAAATTGTCTCGTCTTTCTGGTTCACTCTGATATTCTTTTCTTTATCTTTCATGCTTTCTCTCCTGGTCTCTTCAGTTTTCCAAACCTTGGATGATCATTTGTTGTCCTTCAGTCTTGCCTCTACTACATTTCTCTTCATTTATCTCTCTGTTTTGCCCCATCTCTCTTAAATTCCCTCCCCCCAGAGGTTAAAATCACTCTACTAAGGGGAAACTCATTGCTTACAAGCTCCTG